CAGCAGCAGCAAGGAGCATCACCTGGAGGTGCACGGTGAGCCAGCGGGCTCCAGAGACACAGAGGACCTGTTGGGGTGTCTGAAGGTGCCGCGATATCTCTCAGTGCAAAGTCCATCTGGACCCAAAAGTTCATAGCCATTGCCCACTGCCTTGGGTGTTTGGGAAAGGATGCTGCTGTAGCTGGGTTAGCTTTGCCCCTCCAGATTTCCTCTTGGCTCCAAGCTGATGGTGGCTGGTTTTCACTCCAGCAGCCCAGTTGCACTAGTTGCACCCGCTCACACTTGTTTTGCCCTCCTGCCGCCGCCATCCAGACCGACGGCATTCATATACCCACTTGCATGTGGCCAAGGGAGTTGCTAGTGTCGCCTCCACCTTGTGTCCCTCTGCCCACAGTGCTGCCGAGGATCCAGGGCAGCAGCAAAGCCCTGAGGAAGGTTTCTGTCATCAAGGCTGGCGAGACAGTTTTGGAGTGCGAGGCTGTGGGGACGCCACTGCCCACAGTGACGTGGGTGAAGGATGGGCAGCCCGTGGCTGGTGGGAACGGGATCCTGCTTATGGAGCAGGGGAGGCAGCTGCGCATCCCTAAGGCGGAGGTGGCCCATGCAGGACACTATGCTTGTCTGGTGGCAAATGCAGCGGGGCAGGAACGGAGAGAGTTTGACATTGCGGTGCACGGTAGGGGTGTGGGACAGGGCTGGTGGGTACGGATGCAGGCAGGCTTGGGAGGGTGGTGATGTCGCACAGCATGAGTGTGGAGAGCAAGACAATGTGGAGGTCTTGGACAACCCAGCACATAGAACATCTTGAGTCAGAAAGGGTATGCTCCAGGCGTAGCTGTAGAACTGTCTTCAGCAGGCAGGAGTTTCTCTCCAGGGTCATCAGAGCAGACGATCTCACACTTCATAAAGTCATCTACTTTTCAAGGACTTGGGGAAAACTCATGGGTCAAGGTACCAAGCACTTAAGCTGGAAAAGGCTCAGAGTGTGTGGCCAGCTTGGTGTCACGCCTATAAGCGTGGGCTTGGGGGTGAGGGTAGGTGGCACATACTTGCTGTGAGCCACCTGCCTCAAAACACCCTCAAAGTTGACAACTTCAGATGATGCTCATGGTCCTTCTGGGCCTGTGTCCTCAAACAGGAGGGTGGGAACAAGCCGGGTTTACTCAGTTTGCCTTGCTCCTCTGCTGTCTTGGTGACTGCTTTGTAAATGGATGTCCATCCTTTTCTGCATCCCCAGTTCCTCCTGAGTTTATTCAAGGATCAGGATTGACAACCAACGTCAGCGTGTCTCTGCATGGAGCCCTGACGCTGACCTGTGAGGCCACCGGTGTTCCTCTGCCCACAGTCACCTGGTCCTGGGAGGGCTCTCCTGTCACCCCCAGCGAGCACACGCACGTGCTTTCAGGTCAGGGATGAGGCATGGATGCTCTGAGAGATGGAAGCTTTGGGAACACATTTTGCCCCAGCGCTGATGGGTGTAAATGCAGTGGAGCTCCAGACCTGCAGGGGCACTGCTGGGATGGTCTAGTGCCTGGATGAGGGCTCTGAGACCTCTCTGCTCTGTGCTTCCAGGGGGCTGGGTGCTGAGGCTCAGCCGTGCGCGAGCCCAGGATGGTGGCCACTACTCCTGCCTGGCCAGCAACGTAGCTGGGGAGGCCAGGAGGCATTTCTACGTGGAAGTCCTAGGTAAGGAGGGGTCCTCAGTCTGCTGCAGGATTCCTGGTGGGATTTCAGAACTTCACTCTTGCAGGGACAGTCATGAGTTAAGACTGGGAATGGTGCAAGCTGCAGTGCCAGAGTCCTTTGTGCCTTAACATGTGACCTTGGAGGCTCAGTGAAACTGGTCAGCTGCTGAGGTCCCTGGTGGCTTGTGTTCCTAGTTCCTCCCCACATCGAGAATGCGGATGAAGAAGAGACCACCAAAGTGCCTGAGGGTCACCCTGTTACCTGGTCCTGCCTGGCTGCTGGTGAGCATCACACAGGGAGCGGAGGTGGCATGAGGAGGTGGGACATGGGGCTCAGGGACCTGAGTCTTCCTTTGTGGTGTAGAGCAAATGGATGGTGCTGGTCAAGCTGAAATAGGCTGCAGAGGATTTTTCGGGATAGTTCCTGGCTTTGCAGTTGGGCTGTCCGGGAAGCGCTGGGCCCACGCGGGGAGCTTGTTCCACGACGTAACCTCCAATCTTTCCCAAATGGAGCTAAAATTCCTCTAATCTGGTTTCTCCTTTAGTGATGGGAATAATCAATCACCTCCTACTCAGGACAGTTTTCTTTCTTCTTGCTGGCTCATCCAGCAGCCTCTGAAAACCTGATCCAGATCATGATAATTTTGGATTTGGGCTGGTGTCCCTGTTTCCCAGAAAAGCTTCAGCACAGTGACCCGGGTCAGGCTGTGCTCACACATGGAAAAAACTTCTCATGAAGGCCAAAACTTGCTTTCCACCCCACACAGGCAACCCCCAACCTAAGATCACCTGGCTGAAAGACGGCCACCCTCTGCCTAATGGAAACACCTTCTCCATCTCCCCTGATGGCTCCGTGCTCCACATCCCTGAAGTCTCCCTGTCTCATGCTGGCCGCTACTCCTGCATGGCCTCTAGCTCTGTGGCAAATCAAACCAAGCGCTACCTGCTAGATGTTTCAGGTACGAGATGCCTTCGAATGGAGGCAGAGTCTTGTGTGTGAGCAGGGAACGTGGACTTAGAGGGCTTTTTAATTGCCTGCCCCAGGTAGGTGGTGAGGATCACTTAACCCTACAGCCAGCAGCATGGCGTGATGTTCTGGACCTGCTAGAAAGCCCTCGTGAGAACTCTTTGATGGACATAAAGGGCCCATCTAGTGCAGGATCCATCTCTGATGATGGCTCGTGTGAAGGGGGAGAATGCCTTCTGTGTCCCCTGTGCTTTTGGAGGGCAGAGGCTGAAGCTGGGCTTGTGCTCCACATACTGTGCATTTCACACGCTGTGGTGAAGTCCAACTCCCTGAACTTGCATCATGCTCTCTGGTGGGGGGATGAGAGGACGGGGGATCCTAAGTGGGTGCTAATGCTGATCTGTCATGCAAATACGTCTCTGCAGCCAGTCCCCCGTTTGCTGGAGATGCTGCTCTTGCTGCAGAAGAAGTCACGGTGATCATCAACAATCCCATCTCCCTGGTCTGTGAGGCTCTGGCATACCCATCTCCCAACATTACCTGGCTCAAGGATGAAGTTCCCCTCAAAGTGTCTAGAAACGTCCAACTGCTCCCTGGTACTGTGGCCGTGTCTGCAGGCTCTGCATGACTGCCTTGTGGTCCCTTCCTCCATGCCCAGGAGAGTGGGAGTGGGGTCTTTTCTGCCTCTGGCTGTGGTCCAGGGATGGTGAGAAGTCATCGTCCTGCAGGACACAAGGGGCTCAGGCCATCAGGGGGATGCTGGGCATCCATGTGCTACATGATCTGATAATAGCTAGAGCCTCCTTGGCAGCACCAGTGAGACAGCACTGGTTTTTATAAGCCTGAAAACTGGGCTCTAGAAGAGCACTAGATCCCCTCGAGTCAGGTTTGCAGGTGATCAGCAGGTCCCTTAAGATGCCTTCTTGTGCTGCACGGGGATAGACAGCTGTGGCTGTGAGTGGCGACCCTCTGAGGAGACACCTTTTGCCCAGGTGGCCAAGGGCTGCAGATCCTGAATGCCCAAGAAGAGGATGCGGGCACATACAGCTGTATCGTGGCCAACAATGCTGGAGAGGCTGTGAAGAACTACGCTGTGAAGGTCCTGGGTGCGGGAGCTCTCCATGTTCTTCCTAATTCCTGCAGCGACCCCACCGCTGTAACTGGGCCAGTGCCTTTTCCTTCCCTTGCTGTGCCTTCACCCTGGGGAGCTGCACCTCTTGCAGCCACAAACATACCAGGATGTGGCCCCAAAAAGCCTCTGGCCTACCCTTGGGAGGGTAACGGGGTCTGTCTGAGGGTGTCAGCAACATCCCAAGGTGCTGCCTGACGGTGATTAAGGCAGAGCAAGAGTTTCGGGGGGTCTTCTCTCATCCCAGCTGTGTCATCTCTCCTCACTAGTTCCTCCTTGGATTGCCAGAGATGACCCTTTGGGGGAATTTGCCATGAAAGAGGTAAAAGCCACGGTCAACAGCACGGTAATGCTGGAGTGTGAGACCTGGGCTGTGCCTGAGCCGACCATCCGGTGGTACAAGGACAAGCAGGTGAGGTCCTAACTGCAACCAGGGAGGAGGTGCTGGTTTTGGGGACCCTCCCAGGTCGATGGAATTGGAAGATACCCTTTATATGGCTGCCTGGGCTCTGTCCCACTGGTGGCTGGGTAACCCTCCTCCTGTCCTTCTGCTTCTTCCTTGTCTTGGGGCTGGGGTCCTCGTGCAGCTCCTGGAAAGTGCCGGCCACCTCCAGATCCTCAGTGAGGGGCAGGTCCTTCAGATCAAACCAGCCGGCATCTCCGATTCCGGGCATTACACCTGTGTGGCCACCAATGCCGTGGGTGAAGATGACAGGGACTTCATCGTGCATATCCAAGGTGAGCCCTGGGTGACTGGCCAGTGCCTGGAGCAGCAGGTGACTCAGCAAGAGGAGGGATCTTTAGTGGGGTCCCTCGTGGGAGCAGAGCAGAGCGAGCAAGAAGAGGGTTTGTGTCTGCTGGAAAACTGACATCTCCTTGGCCCCAGTCAGGCCTGGGCAGATGCTCTGGTTGCACCTGCGGGTGCAAGTCCCTATTCCTCACAGCTGACCACAGCCTGTCCCTGCAGTTCCACCCCTCTTCCAGCAGCAGATGAGCCCCAACGAAGCCCTTGAGATCTTCTACCGGGAGGAAGACCAGGATGGGGAGGTGACGGAGCACCGTCAGGCCATCCTTGACCAGCCCACTGCGCTCTACTGTGACACCAACGCCATCCCACCCCCCCGGCTCACCTGGTACAAGGATGGGGAGCCCCTCTCCCCCGGCCCGGGGGTGCTGATGCTGCTAGGTAATGGGGATGGACCCTCGGTGTGGGGTTTGGGACGCACCTGCAGCAGCTTTGTAGGTTGAGACCATCCGTAGCGTGGCGGTTGGTTGCTGTCCCCTTGTTCCTGCCTGAGCGCACAGCACCCGTGGGACCTGCGGGGTCACCGGGGCTGCATGGGGGTCTGTGCACAGGAGGGGACCCTCCGACCCCCTGCAGAACCTTCCCCAACCCTGCCCTGTGCCGCAGGGGGACGGGTGCTGCAGCTGCCGGCGGTGCGGGAGGAGGACGCGGGCAGGTACACCTGCGAGGCGGCCAACGCGGCGGGACAGGACCGCCTGCACTACGAGCTGGAGGTGTTGAGTGAGTACGGGGCTGGGGCATGGGGTGGATGGAGATGCGTGACAGCTCCATAACCGCCTGCTTCCAGCTGCCCCGGCCATCCAGGGTGGCACAGAGGACCTGCCTGAAGAGGTGACAGCCACCATCAATGGCACCATCCGCTTCAAGTGCGAAGCCACCGGGCACCCAGTACCTGTAGTGTCCTGGCTCTGGAATGGTGTCCCCGTTGTGGTCAGCCCACGGCACCAGCTCCTGGAGGGTGGCATGGTCCTGCAGGTCGGTGTCCCTCTGGGCAGGGTCGCTGTGCCGGGGCCCACATGGGAAGACACTAGGTGGAGAGGATGGGGCACCCTTCCCTCCCCAAGGAGGTGGCTGCCCTGGTCTTGCCAGGTGTCGGGGTCCCCGTGGGAGCCCCAGCAGCTCCCCGGCTCGGGGCAGCCCTCAGCAGGGCTCTGCTCCCCCTTTGCAGGTGGCCGCAGCGGAGGCAGGTGACACCGGCAGCTACACGTGCGTGGCCGAGAACCCAGTGGGGTCAGCCGAGAAGCACTTTGCCCTCACCGTGCAGGGTAAGGCATCCCCAGGGCCCCCTCCCCGGGTTGCTGATTTACTCCCTCTTCCTCCTCCTACTCCTCCTCCTGTGCCAGCTGGAGTCTTCTGTGGCTCCTGAGCTGTGTGGCTGCCTCTGTCCCCCCTGTGCTTGTCACACTCGCCCTGTGTGAGGAGGTGGAGGTGGTGGCACGCTCCAAGCACGCGAGATGCTCGGTGCTCATTTCCTCCTGGGGACAGCTTAGCCTCCACAGTGACAGTTCCCCTCTGGTACTGTCTTTTGGGGTGTGCCGGAGCAGAAGCACCCTGGATCATGGGCACAAACCCTGAAAGCATCGACGGCATCGTTAACGGCAGTGTCTCACTGGTATGTGACGTCCAATCCCACTCCACTGCGGAGATCGCCTGGTACAAGGATGGCCATGTCCTGCGGCTCGGTGAGGAGGTGACTGTCACCCCAGGTATGTTGGGATGAGCAAGGGTGACAGCCTGTCCCCCAGGGCTTGGCATGGCCACCGGCTCTCGATGGTGGGCTCTAACTCCCCGAACGTCCCCGTCTGGATGCTGTCTGTGGGATTCAACTCAGACTTTCAGCTGTAACCGCACACTAACAACTTAGTGCCAAGTGATGCCTCCTGGTTGCGTCCTGCGAACTCTGTGCTGCGGCTCCTCAGGAGCTCAGCACCCGTCTCTGCAGCGCATAGCAGGGCTTGGACCTCAAAGAGGGGTTTTGACAGACAGACATCTCTCCACGGAGCTTGGCTGGCTGCTGGGGGACGGGGCAGCACGGTGGCCCAGACTCAGTCCTGGCTCCATCCTGCCCTGACTCCCCGCTCTCCGCTTCTCCCAGACTCGCGGGTGCTGCAGCTCCCTCGCCTGCAGCTTTCCAGCTCGGGCACATACACCTGCGTGGCGCTGAACGCGGCCGGCCGGGATGAGAAGCGCTTCATCCTCACTGTCCACGGTGAGCGGCGAGGGCTCTGCCGGGAGCTCTGCCCCCCCTGAGAGCACACTGAAGAGCTGAGGGCAAACCCTGGTCCCTGTGTTCCTGCTCACACACCCCATCCCCGCTCCTCCTCCTCCCCAGGGCCCCCAGGCATCGAGGACCCACAGCAGGAGACGCTGGATGCCGACATGGGGAGCTCCCTCGTCCTCACCTGCCAAGACACCGGTGTGCCTGCGCCCGCCGTCACCTGGCTGAAGGACGGGAGCCCGCTGGGTATGTCCTGACCCTCGCCACCGCCCCAACCTGAAGCCGTCCTGCCTCAGTTTCCCCATTTCTAATCCTGCTGCGAGAGAATTGCGGGGCCCCACAGGGGAGGAGGCAGAGCACGAAGGGGCTGGTGTTTCCCCCCGCGTGGTTTTTAAGGGGCCTCAGTTTTGTTGCAGAGGCTGAAACAACGGGATGTGGGTACGGGATGTGATGGAGAGATGAGGGGGTGAGCTCTCTGGGTACCAGCCCTTGGGTTAGCCGCTGGGACAGGGGTTTGTCCCCAGACTTGTGGCTCTGCAAAGCTCCAGCGACGCGTGGTACAAACACCCTGCTCTGCAGAGCCCCCACCTCCGCTTCAGCCAGCTCCCCAAACTTGTGTCCTGGGGGTGGGACGGAGGGAGTGTGACGACGTGCCTGGGGAGGGCTCGGTGGAGGAACACCGCTGCAGCCCTCTTCTCCCCTTCTCCTCGCAGAGAGCAGCCCGGAGCAAGGTCTGGTGTCCGGGGGGGTTCAGCTCCAGCTCAGCCCCCTGCAGCCCTTCCACCAGGGCCGGTACACCTGCCTGGCGCGTGGCCCGGGCACCACGGCTCGCAAGGACTTCAGGGTGCTGGTGCGAGGTAGGGATCCCCTGGGGTGGTGGGTAGGGGTTGCTGCAGGCTCTCCTTCGGAGGGGAACCTTCTTCTCCCCCTCCTCTTCCTCAGCCTCCCTCTCTTCTCGGTGCAGTGGCGCCCCGGATCGCCAGCGCGGGGGTCCCCAGCGAGCACAGCGTGGTGGAGGGCAGAGGGGTGATGTTGGAGTGCCGGGCGGAGGGGCAGCCCACCCCCCAGATCTCCTGGCTGAAGGACGGGCAGCCCCTGGGGCTGCAGCCCCCTTCCCGCGCCCGGTGAGTCCGGGGTGGGGGGGACCACCCCACAGGCTAGCGATGGCACAGCCCCCTCCGTGCCTCAGTTTCCCCATGCGCAAAAGAGCAGTGCAAGGCTCTGCTGCTTCTCCCTGCTTGGGTTGGGATGAGCACGTCCCAGCTATTTGTTGAGAAGCATCACCCTGGGTTAAGCCCTGGTGTCCTGGACGGTGCTGACGCCTGGCGTGGTCGCTGTCACCCTAGCAGGGTCCCAGCTCCAGTGCTGGCCTTGCAGTGCATCCCAAAATCCACAGCCTGGGTTACAACCAAGCACAGAGCATCTCTGCCCCGTGGGCACCTTAGGGATGGACACATAGGTCACTGCCCTGTTGTCCCCACGCAGGATATCCCCGGATGGCAGCTCCCTGCTCCTCGAGGGTCTCCAAGCCGCTGACTCGGGGGCATACACCTGCCTGGCCCGAAACAGCGCGGGCGAAGACGCACGGCTGCACACGCTGTGGGGGGGGCCGGGCCACCGGGGCCAGCCCCGGGGCCGCCTGCCCCCAACAGCCCCGTCAGCCCCTTCCTCCCCTCGCACAGTGCCGCCTGCCATCGAGAGAGGTGCTGATGAGTCAGAGGTGGTCCGTGGCATCTTCTCCGCGGTGGTGACACTGCAGTGCCGGGCACGGGGGTCCCCTCCCCTGCACGTGAGCTGGCTGAAGGATGGGCTGCCCCTGCGCCTGTCACCTCGTGTCACCCTGCTCTCTGCTGGGCACGTCCTCCGGTAAGAAGTGACCCTGCAGTGATGCTCAGCCACAGGCTTTGGGGCTGGTACCCGGGTTTGCATGCTGGGGTGGCCACAGCTGCACCCTGAGGTGGCTGCGTGTCAGCGTGGAGACCTTGGGGGGCAGTGGGGGACCCGGAGCTGGTGTTTCATTCCCATCCCTGTGCCCCGCTCCATGG